GACGTTGCATTCCTTAATATTCGTCTGGCGTATGTTGTTTACAATATCTTGAAGGATTACTTAACAAGAATTCTGAAGATGTTCACCTCGGCCAGCTCGCGTGTTCGCACTATTCCATCAAATAATACATCGTATTCCGACGTAAACATCCCCATTGCCAAAATTTGATACACTGTAAATCAAGGCGTGTCTCTAGACATACTGTCCCTTCTTATATTCATGGGTCCTCGGTTAGGTTAGGTTCGGGAAATTTAGGACATCATTTTTGTGACGTTGTGTCAACTGGGGAGGACGGACAGCCTCTGCAGGAGGGGGGGGGAGGGGGGAGTAAACGAGGAGATATCTACCTCGGATAGTTTTATTTTCCTGTTTCTCTATTCGTGGGTCTAGAACCACTAACCTTTCTTATTCTGTATACTCAATTATACTCCCTATTAGTGCTTGCAGGATCGAGCTTCAGCTCTTGTATCCTGCCTTTCTAGCTGCTAGTTGTCTAATGCAATGACCCCTATCTTATTCCTCTATCATACTTACTTTTGAAATTACAAATCTAATTTGCTCTTATAACTTTGCTTATATAGTTCATTCTATTTCTCCACTACTTACGCCAGAAGAAAACTTTATGTCTCTATAATTCATCCATTTCTCACATGGAAAGTTCTTGCGAGGCAAGATCTTTCTTGCATCGAAAGATCGAAAGAAAATCGCAGCATCGAATTCTTTCTTTCTTGCATCGAAAAAGAATCGCAGGTATAACATTTGGGGTTTGCGGCTCATGCTCAGTGATGATATGGAAAATTTGTTTACTGAGAATTATATAAAATATAAATGTAATAATTTCCCCTTTAAATTAATATAAATATAATCTCTAAAATTGTAAATCAATTTAAAGAAAAATAAGTATAACATTTAGGGGTTTAAAGTTCATGCTCTGTAATAATATGAAACACTTGTTTACAGAGAATTATACTACTGTATATGTAATGTAGTATTGCCTCGTAAATTTATGTAGATATGATTTATATCGTATTTTATTAAATAAAGATAAAAAAAAAATCTCACATGGAATATTCCCCTTGCTTAAAATCTAGTTTTGATATAACATCCTTGAACGTGATTTTAATTATCTCGAGAAAATAAGCATTCGAATAAAATGACTGAACAAGAGGTGGGCTTCGGTGTTCAACAATAGGAATCTCAAGGGCGTCTGGAAGAATAAGGATTAGATTCAAAGAGAACTTTTATCATGCCCGCGTCCCTTGTTCCTCTAATAGGAATCTTACATAAAAGGAAATGATTCTACACTATTTACTCGCAGTTAATACTGTTACCGATTTCATTATGAAAATTATTATGCACCAGATTACAATTAGTAAACAAAATATCGTGCACCTACGAATTACCTTGAAGCTTGGAGTTATCATGCCACATAAGAGGACGGTTTCTTAATATAGAGCTCTCACTAATTTCCCTATATGTAAAGTATGTGAACAACCCACTTAACTGAATTTAGTAGATGTTGTGTGTTGGCTTGCGTGACAGCTTGGGAAGGACGATCCGCTAATGCTGGTGATCTGGGCGTGTGTATTTACGTCAATGGTGGAAATTGCAGAGGCCTTAGAACCTGAACGTCAGAGGGAGACGAGTCTGACCATCCAGCCGGTGGGCAAGATGTCTTTTGTTGACCAGACCACACACTAAAGAGTGAAGGGACGACGACGTTTCAGTCCGTCCTGGACCATTCTCAAATCATCGACTTGGGAATGGTCTAGGACGAACCGAAACGTCGTCGTCCCTTCACTGTCTAGTGTGTGTGGTCTGGTCAACATACTTCAGCCACGTTATTGTGACTCATCGCCTGCGTGAAGATGTCTTTTGTATAACGGGAGATGGTAGATAATATTCGAGCAATATTCGCTCCGTAAAGGATGTCAAGAAGGCGGCCTCAATCACAGAAACCAGCCGTCTTCCCTCCATAAAAACTGGAGTGTGATGACTGGCGGTCCTCCAAGTCCAGCGGGTTACCGCGCAAGATATATTATTAACTAATTAATATTTGACGTTATTATTTCCACCACGTTCTTAATTGTAAATTTACAACATTGATTATTGATTAGGCTATTATTCTATAATGTTATACGCTACCTCGGTCTGTTTAATGAGCGCAAAACGAAAGAATGTTATTTCTACCCACAGCCTATCATGGCTGGCGATATCGGGGGTTGATTTTTTGTTTTTTAATGTTAAAAATTGTATAAACTCGTCTATGAGAACCACATTATTTTCAATACTAAATACACCAGATAATATCTCTGGGGAAAAACGCGGTTAAGCTGTATATAACAAACTTATTGATTAATTATAGAATAAATTAATAATTTGGTATAAACAGTGGAATAATTTTTCCACATCTCAAGCATCAATCCATTCTTTTCTACTGATACTATTTTTCATTTTTGTTTGTACTCTCTGATTCTCTTAAGTATGTTAAAAGTCTGTCATGTCTCCTCTTTCACCATTTTTCTAGCGGTGTGCGATCTACTTCTTACACACACCCTCCCCCCCCAAGACTGAGAAATACATACCCCCACATACATATATCTGAAAAATTTCCATTTTGAAAAAAATCCATGATAAAATGGGTGAATGCGGCTTGATGGTCGGCCGCCGCATTAATGAGCCTATCATGAGGACACGCTGCTGTTCGAATCGCATCTTTTTCAAATGTTTCATTCACGTACTGCAAATACTAATAATTAAAAAAATTGACATATTCCTAACTATGCATAATTTCCAATTTATAATAATGTTAATTTATATCCGAGAAAATATCGATTTTAAATATACAGTATGTTAAAAATTTATGACTTCGGGATTAAATTGAGGAGGGGTTCGTATATTAATTGAATATTAGTGATGACATTAGGGTCTCTCTGAATAAAATTATGGATATAGTAGACGCTACGGATAAAGAGAGTAGCAACAGCATATACGCTGTGATATTAAGCAGGCGAAGAGTAATGGGATCTCACGCAGCCTCAACTTAACAGTGCTGTCGGGATTTCCTAATCTCCCTAGACCCAATACAAAGCAAATTTTCTATATTCCTCTCTGGATCCATATTTATAACTTCATAAGGCAATTTAAGGATTTCACATTTCTAAAAACTTGTTTTTTAAGACATTGTGGGACCAATTCGTATATATTTACATAGGAATTATGCTGCACTCAAAATTTGGTAACAAGGAATGTAAATATTATTTTTTCATAAAACTTTAACAAAATAGGTTTTGAATGACTATCGATTATATAGGGGAACTACAGATTTTGGTTGGGTGTTAGGCATAGAGCCTATCAACCTCTGAAGGATTATTAAGCCTATCAACCTCTGTCAATTTTGCAGACGAGGAGTCACAATAATGTGGCTGAAATATGTTGACCAAACCACACACTAGAAAGTGAAGGGACGACAACGTTTCGGTCCGTCCTGGACCATTCTCAAATCGACTGTCGATTTGTAGTGGCTACAATATCGTCGCTACAATATTGTTGCGTCAATATTGCCCGTGCTACAATTTTTACCAAGACGTAGCATTGATCGATTTCGTAAAAAAGGTTAAGTATTTAGCGAGAAATAGGGGATTGCATACAGAGTGAAAGTCTGTAGAGTTAACACTTACAGAGTGGTGCAGAATGTTAAGCTGACTGTACACAAGACCGTAGCTATCTCTGGAGATGAGTGAGGTGTGTATCCCTGTGTTTAGCGCCTCGCTGACAAACAAACCCAGGAATGTGGCATTAATTATACACTTTAGTGTACATTTGGGGCTGTCGATAAGCAGTTTCGTAAACATCTCATTGCTAACTACGAGGAAGCATATAGTTGCATATATTTATTAAATATTCTGTCTTGTAAGCAATTATATCATTATGCAACCCGTCCTCTCAACTAATAGGTCGGGTTTGTTACGTTTAAGGTAACCAGCTTTACAAATGCAACCTATGAAAAATAACGGCTCAAAAATATCCACGTTTTCTACGCATCGGACTCGATAGGTTAGGTGGGCTGCTTGGGTTTGTACGTTTCTGGTATGTTAGGAAGTTCGAGTTTTTACCTGGTGGTAAAACCAAAGAATGAGTTGCATTATAATGGACCTTTCTTCATACTCTCAGCAAAAAAATTATATATTAGCTAGGTAAGTTTGAATTGAAATTTATGTTTATTTAGTGCCTGTAGAATCGAGCTCTTGGACCCCGCCTTTCTAACCTTTTGTGTTTGTTCCTGTGTGTTTTGACCAAGCCTGAGCACATGTCTGTCGTTTTAATAATACTTGTGAGGTTGTTACAAGCGGTGAGGTTGTTACAAGCAGTGAGGTTGTTACAAGTGGTGAGGTTGTTACAAGCAGTGAGGTTGTTACAAGTGGTGAGGTTGTTACAAGCAGTGAGGTTGTTACAAGCGGTGAGGTTGTTACAAGCGGTGAGGTTGTCACAAGCGTTGGGGTTGTCACAAGCGGTGAGGTTGTCACAAGCGTTGGGGTTGTCACAAGCGGTGAGGTTGTTACAAGCAGTGAGGTTGTCACAAGCGGTGAGGTTGTTACAAGCGGTGAGGTTGTCACAAGCGTTGGGGTTGTCACAAGCGGTGAGGTTGTCACAAGCGTTGGGGTTGTCACAAGCGGTGAGGTTGTTACAAGCGGTGAGGTTGTCACAAGCGTTGGGGTTGTCACAAGCGGTGAGGTTGTCACAAGCGTTGGGGTTGTCACAAGCGGTGAGGTTGTTACAAGCGGTGAGGTTGTCACAAGCGTTGGGGTTGTCACAAGCGGTGAGGTTGTCACAAGCAGTCATATAGCGTACTGTCAGAATACCAAAGAGAGAGAGAGAGAGAGAGAGAGAGAGAGAGAGAGAGAGAGAGAGAGAGAGAGAGAGAGAGAGAGAGAGAGAGAGAGAGAGAGAGAGAGAGAGAGAGAGAGATGATAATCAGTAACCAGGTATATTCTTTCCAGGTTGGCGAGGTCCATCTGACGGCGCTGGAAGGAACGTACCATTCCCATCTTCCAGGAGAAGACCTGCTTCCTGGAGCAGCCGCCGGAGGTGGTGTCAGTGTGTGTGTGTCGTGGGGGCCGCCACACTCCCGCCCTCTGTCTTCTAGGAAAGCACTTATTCACCCCTTTTCCCGCCCCCGTAAGACGCAACAAGAAGGAGGAGGAGGTGGTTACCAGACCTCCCTCACGACCCACGGTAGTTGACGGTTAGAGTTGGTGGCTGGCGGTGGTTTGCGTCCACACACACACCCTCATGCTACCCCATGTGCCATCCGAGGCCCATTGGGTGTTCCTGGTACACTGGTGTTACGGTGCCTTCGTCACCTAAGACTCGTCCGGTGACTTGTGACGGCGAGAGACTCGTTCAGTGGTGGTTGCTCTTGGCGTCGCCACACCGCGGGTCTGTGACGCTGACGGCGTGTTTCCCCGCTGGAGGAGGAGGAGGAGGAGGATGCAGTGCCCCCAGGACACAGCTCGTCCCGCAGGCGAGGCACAGCCCGTCACCAGAGAGTACTGACGGAGTGCAGTGAACTCTGGACACTCTTGAGTGCTCTACTCCCCGCACTCTCTCTCTCTCCTTCACTCTTCAGTTTGAGTCTACAAGGACATGCAGCTTGACTTCACAGGAGCAGTGAATCAGAAAATTAACAGGAGCAGTGAACCAGAAGATTAACAGGAGCAGTGAAACAGAAGATTAACAGGAGCAGTGAACCAGAAGATTAACAGGAGCAGTGAAACAGAAGATTAACAGGAGCAGTGAACCAGCAGATGGACCTGTGGAAGCCAACTGTTCGTAAGGCGAAAAAAGTAAGTTAACAGAATTTCTAAACTCTTCTTTAATCCAGTATTTACATACTAATCGCTACGCTGTGTTTGTCTGAAGATTAAAAATACACCATACACACTGTCACTCTTGCGTGCAAGACCCTACACACACACACACACACGCACACACGCACGCGCGCACACACACACACACACACACACATCTGTTTACGTAACCTATTACGCAACTCTGCCCACAGCAGAAGCATGTCTGCGCCCCATGTAAGGTACGCCGCGTCTGCTTAGTACATTATCAACAACGTGTTCGTTCGTTTACACCTGTCAGACACACATAAGCTGCACACGTGTGACGCAGCCTCGCACGACATAGCTGCCTTGGTTGCTGCAGTCACATATGTGAACGTCTAACAATGTGTGACTTGCGGGGTCATGTGTGTGTCAGTCCGGTTAAGCGCTGTTTGGTTTGACCAGTAACTGAACTGGCGCCCTGCCGGAGATCCAGTTCTTGACACGTGGGTTGATACCAAAGGTCTTGGCCTTCAAGGTCATGTGGTTAGATGACCCTTCAAGGTCATGTGGCTAGATAACCCTTCAAGGTCATGTGGCTAGATGGCCTTTCAAGGTCATATGGCTTGATGACCTTCAGTCTTGTGAAGCGTTATACTGTAATTCCATGTTTAGTTTACTTGGCCTCCGTGAAGATATTTCTGTATCATAGAAATGACGTTAAACTGACATGGAAAGATAACCAAACAAACCTGAGAAAAGCCGCCGATATCATACAGCAACTTCTGCAAAAGTCAGAGATATCAATTTCTCAAAAATAAGTCTCAAATAACAATATCGAAATGTTATCCTGTGTCTGGGTCCGTAATCTTCAGCGCACACGTGTCGTTTTCCCCGTCCCTCCGGCCACTGCCTTCAGCGCGGGAAGACCTTGTGACTTCGCGGGTTCCTGTACGCGGGAAAGCTGGCGTGAATTCTCGCGGGAGTGAATAGTGTATCGCGAGGGAAATATGCGCGTGTATTCATGAGGTAATTATGAGATTATGAGGAGACACTACCAAGCCCGAATGACTGTGTAACACATGGGAAGGATACGAGGACAAGTAGGTGGGATATCAGGACAAACATTTGGGATATGAGGACAAGCATTTGGGATATGAGGACAAGCATTTGGGATATGAGGATAAAAAAGTTTGGATATGAAGATATGGATCATGAAGAATACTACTGATACGAGGACGGAGGGAGGGAACGATGCCCAACTACCCGGGCTCTCGGGGATCGAGCACAGGCAATACATCAGGCGAGACGGTAGTCTAACCAACCAGTCGAAGTGGATGGACAAGTGTACTCATGTACATGTATTTGTAAAGTCGAGCGTTAGCTCCTTAGCTCAGGCTTTGCAATTATCAATTGTCTAATTATATTAGTCCGAGTCTCTCGGTCCTCATCATTTAAAATTTTAAAGCCGTACACTAAATCCACTGCCTCTTCTTCTAACACACACACACTGATACGCGGCTCGCGGCTGAGCGGACAGCTTTCGGGATTCGCAGTCCATGTGTAAATTTATAAAAAGCTGAAGACTGCTCAAAATTATCAGTAACATAATACTTTTGTTTGCGTACCGTGTTTTCGCTGCTATGAGGAAAGTATGATGAGTAGAAAATTTATGTTAATTTTCCCAAGATCAGTGCATAATATTTTACATTATTGTAAGGAAAATAATAGTTTTGAATTGGTTTTTAGCTAGAATTTTCTAGCAAATTTTTTGCTAGATGGTGACCGATGGCTATTGTCAAAATCATCATGGGGGTCAGTATGTACCAGGGGCACACTGTTCTCTCTTGTATTCTGGCGATCCTGACCATGTTGGGAACGTACCCCACAACAATCATGGTGCAAAGTTTACTGAGGCTAGCTCCAAACATCTGGCCTTCAACCTCGGACAGAGACATACCGTCAAATCAAACAGGCAGACAAACATTCTAATTAATATATAAATATATATGTAGAATATATATGCTATTTCAACAAATTAGATAACGCTATCAAACTTTCAACTCTACACAAAGCAGTGAATAAAATTGTGTTCTCAATACATGCGTGACGATACAACGCCTTTCCTAGGACCAATGTCGTAGCTCATGATTTTAATGTTTTAATATTTAACGTTATATTTGCGAGGGTTGTCGACCAGCACCACATCCTGCGAGACTTCCCAGAAGACCGTGGCGTGCCACCAGGCCACACAAATCCTTATAATCCTAATGTAAATGTGTGTTATCAACGACAATATGACCTCGCTACAAGACGGAATCTTATTGAAGATGACAATGACATCTGTTGAGATCACTGGAAATGATAAAACTGTTGAGAATAAGACAGGAGCACAGAAAAGGTAATAGTCCTTGGGGTATATCATTGTTAATGGTGATTGTTTGGGATTCGGAGCAGAATACCGGCAACAAAGATTACAAGAAATAATTATGTTATTAAAAATGAAGACATCATTACAACAGAACGTGACGGTGTTGGAAATACGATAGCTACTGGTTTTTAAAATTGGGTTATGTGGAATACCTGATCAGGTAATAGTGACGTGGAGTTGCTTGATTGTTTCAAGATTTGGTCAATAGGCTTTCTGCGCCTTCCTTTGTTCTTATGCTGTTGTGTACAGTCGGGCAGCAGCTGACAACTCTGAGGCTGACTGCTGCAGGAGTATGTCAGCTGGTGTCACCAGGGGGGGGGGGGGCGGCCGACTGCTACAGGAAGTGGTAGATAAAGGAAATAGCAGTAGAAATATCTCAATAAAGTAGCAGTAAAAATGCCTCAATAAAGCAAGAGCAGAAATGCGTCAATGAAGCGACCTCAACGACAGTGAAAAGCTCTGTACCTCAAGGCAAAGCTCTTGCACCACTGACATTTCTCATTGTTATATTAGATATAGACAAAAATAGAAGTCTCAAGTTCGTGTCATCCTTTACGGACGATGCAAAAGTTAACATGAAGGTGTTAACAACGTCTTCTGTTGAAGACGTTGAAAACAGTCTTCATTGGCATCCAAGCTGATGTCAATAAATCTTTGCTTGGGCAACTGAAAAATAACATGGTTAACAGTGATAAATTCCAGATACTTAGGTATGGTAAAAATTAAGAACTTAAAATGAAATATGGGTTTTAAGGCACAATCAAATCTCTATAAGGAAAACCACGCATAGAGGATCTGTGAATAATAATGTCAGACGACTTAACATTTAGTGAACATAAAGCAAAAAATATCATCAGGCAGGAAAATGCTAGGATGGATTATGAGAACCTTCAAATCCAGAGATTACACTACAATGCTGCTACTTTTGAAATCACTTGTGCTGTCCACTGCTTTAGGTATGGCTCGATACTCGCTTCCCATTTCAAAGCTGGAGAGATTTCTGAAACAGAGAATACACCGAACATATTCGGCACGCGTAAACACAGTAAAGCACTTGAACCTGGAGGGCCACGTCCCGAATTTGCACAGTAAAATAACAACATACTGAAGGAAATACAAAACAGTCCCGGTGACGAGTAGAGAGCCATAGGTACAATCAGAGAGCATTGAATGATCATAAAGGCTCACGGCTGCTCAGCATCCTCTCGGCAAATACAAGAAATATTGCCGGTACAAAAGAAGTAGAAGAGTACACGAGAAAAAAATAAACACTTTCCTGCAAGGAGTACTAGACCAACCGGGCTGTTGAGGATGTGTGTGCTTGCAGCTGCTTCAATGAATAACTTTTTGGACCAAGTTATCACAAGTCAAACCTGGCCCCAGGCCGGGCTTGGAGGAACAGAAGGATTCCCAGAACTAACTCCAGGTGAACCAGGTCAAAATTAGAACAATGGTCGTAACTTGGAAAAATACTATTTTAAAGGAAAATATTCTAATTTGATTCACCAATATGGCTGAAGATGAGTGAAGTAAATTACCAGCTCGCAAGTAGTAAGTTTTCAAAATAGGACGGTAAATTTTTTTAGATCTAAATAAGGCCCGCCATGAAAAGTCCAATATTGCAGTTTTCCTTATTTCTCTTATTCCTATGTTCTCAGCTAACGAGTGGTAGCTGCAGTGGCAACAGAAACAAAAAGATAGCTGATGATAACTAGAGAAGAAGCAGGTAAACAAATAGTAAAGCTTAACTTAAGTTAGGCTTCACACCGGGCATGAATAAGCACGTGTGGATGTGGTTATCTTGAGATGATTTCGGAGCTTTAGTGTCCTTTAGTAGTGTGTAGGGTTGACTATGAAGGATGCGAAGGGTTGACTATGTACAGCAACTACCTCACAAGGTTCAATTGGCCTTCTTTAAACTTATTTTTCAAACGTTTTATAGAGAGCAGCAGACACCTGTGTTGCCGCAAGTGGCGATTGCAGTAGACAGTGGCAGACACCCGTCTTGTAGCGAGTGGAGGTTGCACAGTAGATGGAGTGCAGAGTGCGTGAGATCACTCACAATATGAATGGTTGAGGCGCCGCATGGGGATGGCATGAGATCCGATATTACAATAAACCTTTGGACTTAAAAATAGTTTGGCCATTACTTTTTGCTCTGACTTTACCGTGTAAAAGGTTTTTGTGTCTGCCTTCAGCACCGCCTGCAGCGTCGTGCGGCGAGAGTGTGCTTGTGGGCAAGCACGCACGCTCGCTGCACTCACGTGCATGCACGCACACAACACACACACACACACACACACACACGTACAAACCTCATTTTGAGGTTTCGTTTTTAATGATTAATAATTTACTCTAGTTTTTGTGTATACTGCTTCGAGACGACGATCAGGCTTCCCACGCGCTGTTTACTTCATACGAAACGTGACGAAGAATTCGCTTCTTCTCATGCAAAAACAAAAAATACTTTTGTAAAAGATTGTTGCCACAAGCGGCCTTACGACGCTAGAAATAGCGAAGACTTGTTGGACAAGCCCACCTGGTAATGTGGGTTATATCACAGATTATGGCGAGAGGGAGAGGATGGCAGTGGCGCGCAGCCTGACGATCTTGGTAACAGTTCTGTGATTATTACTTGTTGGTCACGCTGGAGTTAATGGCTGCTCAAGAGACAGTGGTTTTGTTCACTCTCTGCTAACCGCATAAGGTAAGGGGGCGTTCATTCTGTGCTAACCGCATATGGTAAGGGGACGTTCATTCTGTGCTAACCGCATATGGTAAGGGGACGTTCATTCTGTGCTAACCGCATAAGGTAAGGGGGCGTTCATTCTGTGCTAACCGCATAAGGTAAGGGGGCGTTCATTCTGTGCTAACCGCATATGGTAAGGGGGCGTTCATTCTGTGCTAACCGCATATGGTAAGGGGGCGTTCATTCTGTGCTAACCGCATAAGGTAAGGGGGCGGTGATGTGTGTTGACCTTGCATTATGGGACGTTAAATTAGAAGTAATAACAGTGTTTTTAATATATTGTCAACTGAGGGACTGTTTAGTGGGGCTGTTGTTCGTGATTGTTAGGGCGTGTGTTGGTGATTGTTATGGGTGGGGTGCTGGTGGTTGTTAGGGGTGGGTGTTGGTGGTTGTTAGGGGTGGGTGTTGGTAATTGTTGGGGTGGGTGTTGGTGATTGTTAGGGGTGGTTGTTGGTGATTGTTGGGGTGGGTGTTGGTGATTGTTCGGGGTAGGTGTTGGTGATTGTTAGGGGTGGGTGTTGGTGATTGTTAGGGGTGGGTGTTGGTGATTGTTAGGGGTGGGTGTTGGTGATTGTAAGGGGTGGGGTGCTGGTGGTTGTTAGGGGTGGGGTGCTGGTGGTTGTTGGGGTGGGTGATGGTGATTGTTGAGGGTGGGTGTTGGTGATTGTTGGCGGGGGGGGGGTTGGTGATTGTTAGGGGGTGGGTGTTGGTGATTGTTAGGGGTCGGTGTTGGTGATTGTTGGGGGTGGGTGTTGGTGATTGTTGGGGGGGTGGTGATTGTTAGGGGGTGGGTGTTGGTGATTGTTAGGGGGTCGGTGTTGGTGATTGTTGGGGGGGGTTGGTGATTGTTAGGGGTCGGTGTTGGTGATTGTTGGGGGTGGGTGTTGGTGATTGTAGGGGGGGTGTTGGTGATTGTAGGGGGGGTGATTGTTGGGGTCGGTGTTGGTGATTGTTGGGGGTGGGTGTTGGTGATTGTTGGGGGGTTGGTGATTGTTAGGGGTCGGTGTTGGTGGTTGTTGGGGGTGGGGGTGGGTGTTGGTGATTGTTGGGGAGGGGGTTGGTGATTGTTAGGGGGTGGGTGTTGGTGATTGTTGGGGGTGGGAGTTGGTGATTGTTGGAGGGTTTGGTGACTGTTGGGGGGGTTGGTGATTGTTAGGGGTGGGTGTTGGTGAATTTTGGAGGTGGTTGTTAGGGGGTGGGTGTTGGTGATATGATGGTCAACCCCCCACCAAGAGTTCCCCCATTTTATATATATGTGCGTGTGTGTGTGTGTGTGTGTGTGTGTGTGTGTGTGTGTGTGTGTGTGTGTGTGTGTGTGTGTGTGTGTGTGTGTGTGTAACCCCAGTGAGGTGTCATACCAGTGTTGTGGTCGGAGGCAACTAATGTACCGTGTACGATGGTCATGATAAGAGCGCAAGAAACAGTATTACGGAAAGCACAAAAGGTCTTGTTCAGACTTCAGCCAAAATAGCTACATTAACAATTCCTTCTAATCTGCACACCTTGTAATTATAAAGAAAGCTTGTAACAAAATAATTTACATATTGGATATCACAGGATCATAGAACAGCTGCTGTTTATTATCATAAGTGTTGACACTACACAGCTTATACATTAGTCTTTCATTTGACTTTTATCTGCTAGAGGAGAAATATGGATACGGTGCAAGGATTTAAGATATTTAATAATAATTGTAACAGTGAGATACAGTGATATTCCTGGTTGTTGCGTGGAACAATACACTTTAAGTATATTGTATATTTAAGATGCATTTCGCGTATCTTTACATATTCACTCCACATATACTAAGGGAGGAGTTTGTTGTTGTAGAGACATCCCTTAAAAGAGACCAGTGTTCGGGAGAAGACTTTTCTAAATAATATTTGCTGTTGTCATTAAAACAATGAGCCAGCCTTTGTCGACCTAAAATTACTTTAAATGTATTTATGCAGACAAAGTACAGAGGCAAGTAGTTCTAGTGTTATTTGTGTGAGTGTGGGAAGAACAGCCACACAGTGTGGCTTGTGCGTGTGCGAGGTCCATGTTTTATTCAGCCAACTGAAATTATATGCGTGTTGTGCTGTCCATTTCTTAGTTGCTATGAAGGAATTTATAATTTCGCCGTGATAGTAAATGTTTTTTCCTTGCAGTTCTGCACACTTGATCTCACACTCACACATACACACTATTGTTACTATCAAAAGCCACCAAATCGACTCTTTGGAACACCCTTCAGGCTGATGAATCTTCCAATAGGCGTCAATCTGTAAACACGTACAAGAAATATGGTTCTTGATGACCTACGCAAGACTCCGTGCTCGTCTCCAGGTTAAGTTTAAGACTTCGTAACCCGGTTCTGGGAGAACACTGGCGAACTCGTACACGATGCAGCTGAAATTACTGTACTGCCGTTACCCTCCGGAGAAGTGGACTCCAACGGGAAGCCAGTTCAGGTAGTATCTCTCACGTTCATTTACACATTGCTATACGTAATATGGATAAGAGTAACGTCAGCCTGACCGCTCGATCGTTGCCACAACGGACATAAATTGTGTACTAAAGCGCCTCGAACGTAAACAAACCAAAGGACCCATCCACCACGCATAGAAAACTTTAATGTTTGAGAGCCGCTATGATTTATGCAGCCCGTACCCCATTATTTGCCCGTTGGAGATTTTGGCGTTAAAATGCTGTATATTCTGCGAGAGGACGGGCTACACTCCGCAGTCAGCCCAACCCGTTCCTGCGACCGTTCCCAACGTCGTAGAAATTGTCGTACCCACGTGCCTTATCTTAACCTTCCAGAGGATCCACGGACAGAAGAAGGGTCATATGTCAATTTCGCGAGCCGCTACCATTTCCTAGTACGACAGTTTTTGGCCTTAGGTAAAGCATACGTCAAAATGCGAGGTGCAATTAGGAGGACGTATTGGTCAGTCACGGTCATAGGGTCCGCAGAGGAATATCTCTGAAAAAAATCATGTTTTTTATATATTTTGTCTGTGGGAGAACTTCGAGCAGTTGCAGAACGGAGAATTTTCACTCCCATAATCTACCTGCAATACGTCTTGTGCATTTAATTGCATAATAATGTCAATAACCAAAGACGCAATATGATAATTATTTGTAAGTTAGTAAAAGGTTACACGTTCTGGACTATGTCTACGATCTAAAGCATTCTAATACAAGTGTACAAGACCTGTATTGTAAGTATAACAACTACAGTTGTAGCCATAACAACCCCTCCATAGGATGATAGGTTACTACTCTGTAATGCTTTTTGCGCTACCGCTCACAGGATGAGTATGGGGTGCACAATAAACTAGCCGCCTTCGGTGGCAACAATCAATACTCACTAGTATTCAAGTTCAAGTATGTTTATTGAGACAAGAAAAAATACATCTGAAAGGGATAGAGTAGCTTAGGCTATTTCTATTTTTCACTTGTATTACCTTCCTTTTCTCTCCCCTACCCCGCCCCCCCCCCCCCCATCATCCCTCTCTCTCCCCAACCCCCTCTCTCTCCCCTTCCCCCTCTCCCTCTCTTTACTTCTACTACGAACGATTCAGAAGTTTTTAACACACGTCTTAATATGTTTAATTTATTTCGCCGAATGCTGCACTAATTGCTGTCTACAGACCAGGAAGTGAACACTCGAGGATCATTTCATATTAATAATTTCACTCTTGATTTCAGTTAAAGGATGGAACTGGAGTGTGACATGGACTGGCTGGGCGCTCACACTTGCTGTTGTACCACGCTGGCAGCGACTATAGCTGTGCCTAGCGTGTCAGTATGAATTAATGTATATCATTTCTTAATATTTTCGCCATTGGCTTCATTCAACGTTTTGTTTTTAATTTGTCTTATAATGCTTGTGATTGTGCAGTGAGTGATGTGAGTGGTGTTCCCAGCAGGTGAGCGGCGGCGACCCGTGTGAGTGGGCGGCCAGCCTGCCGGACGTGGTGGCCGACCTCACCCTCGCAGACACCTCCCCACCTGCCACCCACCATTCCTCAATGCTCGGCACTCGCGACCATCACTACCCGGACATGAGTGACGTCCGGACGCGTCGTCGGAACGCCAGGCCCCCTCAACCACCCGTAACGCCGCAAGGGCTCGGGGCCGGCCCTCAGGGCTTAGGGGCTGCGCCCACTCAGCCCATTGTATCTGGTGGTGGCGCCACTGGAGGGACTGCGGGTGGCTGGAGGCATAACCCTCAACTTCCATGGCCATCTCAGCCTTCCCTGGAGCCACTAGGTGTAGCGACACTGACATCGGGCGTAGGTGTGAGCGGTGTCCAGGGGGAAGGGGAAGGGGCGCGCGTACGCAGTGCGTCTAGTGAACCCCGGGGACCCGCCGGCAATGGCGACCGGAGAGTTCGCTGTTCTTCAGCCACAAGATCACGCCAACACCGCCCACGCCCACCTCCGGGGGATCGCCCACATGGGAACACCACTGTGCCACCTGTCGCCTCTCTTCCCCCGAGTGGGTGCGGTCCGTACTCCCCCACCCCGGGGGTGTTACAGCCCGGGGGCAGCGCGGGTGTGGTGGGCGGCGTTCTAGCCCGCCTAGCTGGTTGCTATGAAAACTTGGAACCAGGACGGGAAAGCGGGGAGGGAATGGCATACGGTTACCAGGTGAGTGATCTGGAGGCTCTCCTCACTGAGGCGTCTCCCTCCCGCCCCGCCAACCTGCCCATGGTGCTGGCGTCGTCAACGCGCCTCCACAACATGCGCCGCACGCCTGAGCCGCGCTCTCACAACCAGCAGCCCGTACGCCCATTCCTGCCTCTTGGAATTATTGTCAACGCGGTGTTCAAAACGCGAGACTGGCTATACGTGCGCACGGCGCACGGAGCAGAGGGCTACGTGCCGTACCGAGTGTGTTTACCCCTGGGGATTCTCCCTCCCCCGCGAGAAGGTCATAGCTTGCCGCTTGGCGCCGCAGACGGAGGCGCCGGCGGAGTGTGGGACAATAGGGTGGACATGCTCCAGGGCGGCATGACCCAGCTGCCTGTGGCTTCCCCGGCGGCAAATACCACAGGCGGCATGGGCGCCGAGGCTGGGGGCCAGACGAGAGGCAGATCTCGTGGGCGGCGGCGGCCTCCTTGCATCGATTCCTCAAATCAGACGGACACCCAAAAACTACAACCAGTTGTCCGCAGCCTGTCAGAGGCACGCTCCCCGCGGGAGACACTTGAGACTCAGGTAACCCAATCTACGACCATGCCCGCGACCTCCAACGATCACGTGCTCGTGTAACCCCCGTCACATCTCACTACAGAACACGTGAGGTGTGCAAGGAATATGCCATTAATGATAGTTTACATTGCATTAACCGAAGTACATTGAATGAACGAATAATGATTTTGCAGTGTAGTAATTGTCCTTCCCACAGACTGGCCACCATTCACTGTTTACGCACTTTTCCTAATATATAACATTGGCGTGTGAGTAGAGAATTACTGATCGCGTATTTTGCCGTGATTAACGGACAAACCTTTCCAACATGTCTCTTAACACCCGCCATCTTATTCTCTTGATTGTCAATTCAATGTGATGTTTTTTCCTATTAGTCATGCAATTTATTTATATATTTGTACATGAAAGTGAATTAAATTAAGTATATTATATTTGTAAACCATTTGTTAGTATTATATTTATTGTTGACATGTTTTCATAATTTAAATTTGCTATGAGGCTATCTTGAATATTTGTGTCGAAGAATTTTAGTTATTCCACGTGAGTTAAGAAAGACACCAAGAAGTCAGTTTCACGTGACATGATGCCAAACGCAACCTCGAGTCTTCCATTTGAGCTGTAATGTTAAAAATCTAATGACAGTTACACGTGAAATATATATCTGACCCTTGAAGCCATTTACACTTTAGCTATGATGCCTGAAAAGACCTGGAGTCAGTTCCATGTGATATACAGAATATATATTGCCAGATAACACTGAGTTAGTCCCACATTCGTTGTCACCAACGACATCTGAAGTCAGTCCCAGTTGAGTTATGACGGCCCACAATAGACGCTAATCAGTTCAGCATGAAAAGGATTGATAGGAATTTCCTGAGACCAGGTATGTGCTTACTGAATAATGGGTATCTATAATAGTTTTAATTAAGATCTCAATTACTATTTTTAGAACGAAGCTTCAACGATGCTTTACACATCAACAGCGTACTAGAGTATATCGACAAGATATGAAATTTTGCTAATATAACCAAACCTATCCTAACGTTGTTTGTGAAGACCTGTGTGGTTAGGTTGGGTCTAACATAAGTTTAATTTTGTTTGCAAAACATTATCATTTTCATTATTACAAATTGTGATTATATATGCAACCGCCCATATTTTGTTGATATACATTACTGCTGCTACATGTATTGTGTTATTGAAGAATGGGTTACACAAACATTCACACACACACACACACACACATACACACACACACACAGATATAATCATGTTCCAGCTCTGACTTTATATTCACCTATTATATTTATTGTTTTCAGCGATATTTCAGAGATCAAGAATGCTCTTTGATTGTTATGTGATTTTCACCAAATTAAAATGATTACTATTACTATTATTATTATTATTAATCTCACTTGTGAAAGATTGCTTTGAACTATGCATGAAAAAACTGCATTTTTCCTGTGCAATTATCGGAAGCAAAACTGGGATGCTATTATTTTAATAAATACTCTTGTGTGTTATTAGCCATTCACTTTTAAGATTATTGTTATTATAATATAATAATAATTATATAGGGGTACCACCTCTGGTGCAAGTGTAGGGACCCACAGCCTTGAAGAAAATAAAGAGTATTCAGAGAAGACCTTGTGGATTCTCACTGAACACTTTAATATTTTCTTCTCCTTCCACCCCTATTCTTCTTTATTAATTTTATTGCATTGTGTTACAGTTTACAGAAAACACACACATATAACGATCATTTTATATTTGTTTTACTTTTATTATACATTAATATTATTATTGAGAAAACCAATAGCCATGAGGACTCGAACCTGCACACTGGGTATACTCCCAGGCATACATACCCTAAACCCTTAAAAAAGGCCACGATATGCTACAAAAGTATTGTATCCTGGGATTCATCTGAATCCTCTAGGGTTCCTGAGGTATCTTATGATCCCATATTCATTACCCTCACACACACTCTGGCTGGGTATTCTTCAAGTCAAATGCACAAAGAAATCACATTAACGTGATGTATCAATGAGAAAATCAGTAGGAGTCATGGCAAAAATTCGAACCTGCACACAAAGTCCAAACACCGTTTCAAATGTAGATGTGATAAGAACCCGATAGGCTCAGAAATCTGTACATCAGTTGATTGACGGTTGAGAGGCGGGACCAAAGAGACGAAACTCAACCACCGCAAGCACTAGGTGAGCACTAGGTATTTTCTAACACACGCCCTGAACCACTAGGCTACGATATGCTAGCACCCTTAGAGGAGAGCGGCTCACACACTTGGTGCACGTCGCACCCCTATATAGGACATCTTGTACCCCCCAGAGAGTTCATCTCGCACCCCTAGAAAGGACATCTTGCACCCCTGATGAGGACATCTCGCATTCTTTGAGAGGTGCATGTAGCAATCTCAAAACAGGGGATCTTGCAAATTTAAGAGAGGGCATCTCATACCTTCAGAAAGGGCATCTCGCACCCTTTGAGAGGGCATGTATGATTCTCAAAGATGATATCTCTCACCCTCAAAAAGGTATGTCTATCCGTAGAGAGGGCATCTTCCGCCCCTAAAGAGGGCATCTTTCACCCCTAAAGAGAACATCTCGAACCCCAAAGGGGACATGTCGCATCCCCAGAGAAGGAGAAGTCACAGCCCCGCTCCTGTGCCTGGTAAGTCCACTACGAGATCACCATAGCCCGTGCTACTTAGAACTTCTGTTCCGAGCTGCTGAATCTAGAACAACAACAATAACCCAGAGAAGGCATCTCCCAATATCCAGAGAGAGCACTTAGCAGCCTTAGACAGATATATAGCACTCTTAGAGAGGGTCATCTGGCATAGAACTGTCATCCCACACCCTTAGAGAGGGCCTCTCGCACCCCCAAGTACCCTATGGTATTGCACTGGTATCCAAGTTTACAATGCAAGCAGCTTAATTGTTATATTTTTCACTTGATGAAAACAAAAATCGAAAAAAATACTCCCATAAAATAATATTGGCCGCGATAGGCTTCATAAACAAGGTACAAAGCTGTTTAAATCTTACACGAACAAAAAAAAAGCATAATGAATGGGAGAGGGAATTTACGACTGCGATATCGTGTACCTTGACGTGACGAGAAGCCTCATCAGGAGGCCGATTACACCCTCAGGAGTCCAGGGAGGGGTCATCAAAGCACCCCAAGGGATAATATACACAGACAGGTGTACCCTGCCCACTTCTCGGTACACTTATGCAGAGAGTTTACTTTAGTCCTGGCCTATGTTCAGGACTAAAGTATACATGTAAATTCAAATTTAAACAAAAATTTATTCACAAATGGGTATTCATTTGTAATAGATTTTGCACACAATTTCTCTAAATTGTTTGCATAAGGGAAAGTCAGGTATTGTGATAGCCTTAATGCCCCTCTCCAAAAGATTGATAGGCCTTAAACCTTTCACTAAACTTTGTGGTTGGTCAGTGAGGTATTGTGCTGGACTCAATAACCTTCCAGAGTTTGGTGGGCCTTGAACACGTCACCAAATAAAGCCACCTTAGCATGCTGACATTTTGATTTGGTGAAGACTTAAAACCTATATCAAACCTCTGAAGAGTTAAGGCCACCACAAAAAGCTTACTGATCAGTCTGTAGGTTTGAAGCTAGGCTTAATGTAAGACGTATCATGCTCTGTAAGGATATTAAGGTAATTACAATGACTTACTGACCAACCAGCAAGCTTGGTGCGAGTTTAAATCCTATCAACTTCTAGAGGGTTATTAAAAGCTTTCCACATTATGTATACTTTAGTCCTGAACATAGCCTAGCACTAAAGTCAACTCGGCATATATACCCCGAGACATTCAATACACCTCGCAGTATAATATATTGTTGAGGCTGAATTCGGGCTTGAGCTGACGCGGCAACCACTCCCCACGTACCAGGCGAAGGTACACAGTCCAAGTAGGTGGATAAAGCAAAGGACTGGGATAGAAAACAGTGATAATAAAGCGAGTGCGAGGCGTCACCGGAGAGGAGATGAGGAGGCGCCGTCCCAACCTTGGTTACGTCAGGATTATGGCAGCGGGCGAGCCAATTGGGCGACGTGTAACTCACTCCCAACGACCTATACCGTGCTATTATTACTCATTCCAGTGACTTTTGATGACTTTTAAACCGGGCGTTTGATATCGAATAATCCTCAATTTATCTATACTGTATCGATCGTTAACCGAAGCACAACCAATAGGGGCAATTTCGGCTAACCATCCCATCGTCTTGGAAGGTCATCGCTCATCGCCACCAAGCACTGAAATTCGCCTGTGCTAAATCTCATTACCTTTTCTTGAGCTTGATACAATAAGCAGCGCCTAATCATATGGAATGAGAAAATAGAGGCCAGGAATGAGTATTATTTCAATGATGCCATGCAATTAACTGATGCTATTTTAATATTGGAGTAGAGAAGAGCGCAGCTGCGCACCATGAAGCTGGCGGCTACCATTGCGCATGTATAATGCACAACCATAAAGGCTGCCTAGACTCTATGTAATGGGACGCGAGGGTTGTGGGCCAGCCACGGAGCTTCTCACATCTGAGGCCCGACGCTCCAGTGGCCCGAAGTCTCAGTGGACCGAAATCCCAGTGGCCCAAAATTCCAGCGGCCCGAAGTCCCAGCGACCCTTAGTCCCAGTGGCCCGAAGTCCCAGCGGCCCGACGCCCTAGCGGCCCTTAGTCCCAGTGGCCCGAAGTCCCAGCGGCCCGAAGTCCCAGTAGCTCGAAGTTCCAGCGGTACGACGCCCTAGTGGCCCCAAGTCGCAGCGGCTCCAAGTCCCAGCGGCCCGACGCCCCGAAGTCCCAGTGGGCCTAAGCCCTAGTGGCTCGACGGCCCTGCCTTGGTGGCTACCAACAGATACATTTAACTTGCCGCAGACAACCGCTACTTGGTACGGCCCAGTAGCCGCTACCGTTTTGACCCCGCCATCAGCGCTACTTGTATTCACTCTACATAAAGTAATATAATTAATAATAATGTTATCACTGATAATATTTCAAGGATATCTGCACAACTACGCAAAATTAAGACGTTTTCACCTACAACAATTGCAGTTATCAGTAAAGCTCAAATAATATTAAATCTATTAATAAAAATAATACTTGAGACATATATATAAACACAGGATACCTGTATCACGAGCGTAATAACGTCAAGACTCAACAGCTTGTCTGTGGTCTCTGCCACTAGCATCAAGGGGTCCCAAACACACACACCACACACACACACACACCACACACAGGAGACCTGACACACATTGGAGTAATACTGGCAACTGCACAGACCTTCCTTGATGACTCGGTCCCAAATAACTTTGAAGGATAGTCTATGAGAGACTATCCTGAGAGGATAGACTGCCTGAGAGACAGGCAGTCTGGCAGAGATGGTGTTACTATCTGCTTCATAACACCGTCTATCACATCCTTCTTTACACTTTTGGACAAAATCACGAAAATTAATTCTCTAATGTGTATGTTACCGTCTGTTGTCAAAGAAATTTTACTTGCTATAGTGATTTTGTTGTCATGAAGTATTATAATCAAAATACTTTAAATATCTAGGTTAGTCTCTCAATCGAGACTAACCTTAGTCAATAGGAAGCTTCAGGCTATGCGTTAGGCCCAAGGGCATGCAAGGTACGTGGCCAAAAGTGTTTCACCACCCGGTAATTGTCATCGGGAAGTGCCCAACCGGGAAGATTATGTAACAGAATATTCAAGAGTTCCAAGATATCAATCAAGATGTCAATAGGAGAGGAGAAAGAGACAAGACCAGCGATGCCAAAGGAGTCACAATCACTAAGTTTACGGAAAGACACAGCTCAAAGGACCAATGAGATAAATTTTTTGCTCATCTTGAAAATGAGAACATTTTGCGAGGTGTCTAACTTTTAGTGAAGCAATATACCTCTGACACTAACGTTCAGATCCGTTAAGTGTCCGTGAGGCAATGTTAAGTGTGGCCAGCCCTTAGTCACACACGCATCCCACTTCCTGCTGCGATAATAGGAGGAAGGCCATATTTGATGGTTAATTATTATGAATAAATTTATACTATCAATCTCTGCAATGGTTGTGGATTGTATTATGAATAAAGAGATCGAACCCTGAGTAAGTAGTTCACGTCTGGGGGACGAGACGGACACGAACCACCTCGTCACCACCATCGTCCAAGGGTCACTGCAGGTAGCACCAATGTAACTAACTAACTGCCCAGCAAAAAAACTATATAAACATTAAAGTGTGAAACTAGCTTATCAAGACTGTAACTTGATTGCCGAAATGAATTTTGAGGTTCAGTTCCTGAGCCAATTATGCACCTCTAACCTTTTTCTCACTACTGCACACAGGATGGGTATGGGGTGTATAATAAATGAACTAAACTATACAAAAAGAAAACTGCTCAACAAATCTCTGCCGTCTTATATCTGCTCAAGATGACGTACCGTCAGT